TTCCCTTCCTTCCCTTTGGGTCTCTTTGGAGATTAGGATTTTCCTTTTTTATCTCCCTCCATCTGCAGAAGCCGTTTTTCCCCCTATGACTTTTACAAGTTTTCGAAACTGGCTGGAGGTGACGCATCGGGCTAAAGTGACACCCTCAGCTGAGGCTCATAGGTCCAGATCACAGGTCAGAGTGGAACCTGGAGAGTGCAAAGGGCTGTCCCATTAGTGTGGACTCTCCTCTCCCCTCCCCTCTTGTGACAGAAGTTCTGTCTGGTCCCCAGGTCGCCTCTAAAGTGATCAGCTGTTAATGAGTGTGGTCATGAGCCATGACACGATGGCATAGAAAGTTCCTGAGTTTCACAACATTTTGATGTCTTTAAGTCTTAGAGAGGAGCCCATAATTTTATGGCTTAAGAGGAGTGAGAAAATAAACAATTTATTGGAAGTGATATCTGGTGGAGGTAGGAAGTCAGAAGAATGGCTCCAGGAATTCTCCAGGGCCAATTTATTTGCTATTTTCTTGATTTTCAATTTTACATTGATCCGTGTAACTAGACAACATTAGGATCTGCAGTTAGCAGTGTAGATTTTTTTTTTTTTTAATTTTTTGATCTGCTTTAGCTCAGAAATACAACATGTATTCTCTTTGATGGAATTCATCCAAGGGAAGATGTCCTTTTAAAATAAGTCAATGTCTTTCTACCAAGAGACACTTTGAGGGACGTGTGTGGGCTTGCTTGTAAATTGTTACCCAGACCCTGCTACTTTCTATGTCACCTTGGGCAGGTTACTGGACCACTTATTTTGTACTTTATTTTCCTCATCTGAAAATGGGACATGAGCAGGATCTAACTTAGAGGGTTATTGCGAGGATTAACTGAGAAAATCCAAAAAAAACACTTGGAGCAGTACCTGCATCTACTAGTCTTCAATACATGTCAGCTATTTTTTGTTATTATTTTTTATTATGACCAACACACTTATGAAACATTTTATATTCTGTAATAGGATTAATAAAAGCATTGAGCAAAAATATTTTCCAGTAACGTTGCACAGTATTGTGCTACATTTCTTTCGTGTGTGTGTGTGCGCGCGCGCGCGCGTGTGCGTGCTACGTTTCTTGATTAAGACTTTATTTGATCGTTACTAAGAAACCATTATCTAGACAAAGATGAAAACTAGTTTTAATGATGAGGAAGAATTGGATAACAATAAGCATTTTCAAAATGGATTCTGCAAAGGAGCTCTAAGCTACATGAGACAGGAAAGGTAGGTAAAGAAAAACAACTCAGTTTACTTTTAGAATATGGAATCCAATTTCTTCTTCTTGTGTATGATGACCGCTTACTCGGGACCAAAGGTTTTAACTCATAAGGGGCGGCTTTTTAGTTTGTGAAATCCTTTCTTGAAATTATACTCTTCCTAAGTTTTATATTGATTGAATTATTCATTCAACAAATATCCGTTGAGCACCTGTGGTGTGCTGGGCACTGTGCCAGGCTTTGAGGGTACACTGGTGTACCCCCAATGAAGAGACAGGCTCCTACCTTCAGTGGACAGTCCTGCAGATAGATGAAGGGGGGATGAGGGCCGCTGGGGCTACAAGAGGCAGTGAGGTGACGGGGCGAGGAGTGGGCCCCGCCCTGTGATACCACTTCTTCGCTGTGATACTTCATAATTCTTTAGTTTTCTCTAAAACTGCGCTACGTAATTTGTGGTGAATGCAAAATGTGCAAAATGAAAATGTAGAGCCCTTGTTTGAAAAGCATTAAGAATTTCAAGGTGAGACAGCAGGTCATTAACGAACCATGGGCCCTTCTGAGTTCGGGGCCCCGTGGGGCTGCATAGTCACACACGCCCATAGGTGGCGTCTGGCCCTAATGGGAGTAATATCAGTACCTGCTTATAGGGTCCTATGAAGATTCACTTGGCCAGCAACAGTGCCTGACAGGGTGAAACCCTCAATATTAGCTGTTACTTCTATAGCAATTATTCTCATCATTAGGCAAAACAAATTGTTCGTCCAAACTATTTTTGATCACCATTATAACTGATATTCTGCTGAGAAAAGCGTGTCTCAACTTTGGTTTGGGATTTCACATTAAAACAAAGTGCGGTCCCGTGCTCAGAGCACAGCGTCCTGCGCCAGCCAGAGAATCGAGGCAGCGTTCGTGAGAGCCAGGCTTGTATTTTTAACGGCCTCCCAGCCTCCAATCCCACAGGTCCTAGTCTCACCTCGTTAGCTCCCCACCCCGCCCCCAAAATGCCCCACTCCCTGTGTTTGATTTTTGTTCCGCCTGTGCCAGGCGGGGAGCTCAGTTCAGGTGAACAAGAGAGACGTGGCCCCCCCCTCAGGGAGCTGCATTCTAGTGACTCCTCATCTCGTTTGCTGGGTCAGGAGGATGCTGAGGCCATCCCGCCGGGAACTCACTGCCCCCTTCTCGCGGCCCCACCCCCAGGCGTGGTCCTCAGACTTGCCTGCCCCATCTCTGCTGTCACTGCCATCCACAGGGCCGTTTCCTTCACAGGCTGTTGCTACTCGCTGCCCTTTTAGACTCTCTTCTTGAGATTCCAGATTCCTCTGGGACCTTGTCGTAAAGGGCCCTAGTCTTTTTCGCATCCTGTGGTCACTTACTAAGATTCAGCCTTGTCACTAATTGTCTTGCCCACTGGACTGCTAGTCTGTGGGCTCCGTGCCCACCCACTCCTCCTGACCCACCTGTGTACATCCACTTCGTGTGCGCCAGGTACGTGCTCGATTGTGCATGCGTACACACCCGTTAGCTGAGTGAGTGAGGGATTACAAATGACCTCTTGCAGAGGGACAGCACCTTAGGCAGAGTCCCACGGAGGTGGATTCCTTGCTGTAATGGCTCTTCGCAGCCCCGCACGTGGCCTGGCAGGGGCTGTGGGCTCAGCAAGCGTGCGTGGAATCGGCAATGCCATCTACTCCGCACCTCGGCGCCTGCCACTGCGTGTGGCACCGATAACACTGAAGCAGGTGGCTGACCCCTTCCATGTCAGTTGTCACCCACCCCCACCATCCACGCGTGTTCAGTGTGAGCCTGTCACGGTGAGGGCGGGGCTTGGGAAAACCCGCTTGTGCGTTTGCTCCTGTATCGCCCTCAAAAGGCCAGGAGCCGGGTCTTCATGATTATAGTTGGGACGATCTTCGCATAAGTGGCTCTGCCTAAAAGATGTATCTGAGTGTGGGGGCTTTTTTTCTGGAAAAAAAACTTTTAAAAACAATTCTACTATTAGTGGAATTTTTACTGTCCCGTTGTTCTCACCTTAATTAATTATGTGTTAATTTCCGTGACAAACGGTATATTTTAAAGTACTTTTACGCTGCCATTATCAGCCGAAGAACGTTGGACTTCGGTCGGTGTTGAGAGGAGGCTCGTGGTCTCTCGTGAGGTCGCAGTCATCCGAAAGTTGGAGTTTCCTCCCAGGCTTGCTCACGTGGTGATCCCCACTCGCCCTGGCCGTCGGACCGAGGGCCTCAGTTCCTCACCACTTGAGCCTCTCCACTGGGCTGCCTGCTTGTCCTCGAGACACGGCAGCCGGCTTGCCCCAGAGCTAGTGATGCAAGGGAGAGAGCAAGAGAGAGAAAGGAAGTCACAGCGTCTTTTATAACCTAACCTGGAAGTGACATATGGCACTTCTACCTTGTTATGGTCACACACACCCTGGAAAAGTGAGGAGGGACCACACAAAGGTGTGGATCCCGGGGTGGGAGGAGTCATGGGGGACATCTTGGAGTCTGGCCACCACACTCTCGTTCTCCTCTGGCTGAGGAGAAAAGTACCACCACAAGTGCCTGCCATCTGCTGTAGAGCCACTGTGCAGGGGACAGGAAGGCCTTGAGCGTTCTGAGCAGGGCACATCCCAGCCTAGTGTTCATTTGTGCCAGCGGTAGGAACCCTGTTGATACTTCAAGGATAGATGATGTTTAAATGATACACACGCATAGTGACTTGTAGTAGATTCGCAATAATATATAACTTAACTATATTAATGTCTATTAATATCGATGAATCACGATGAGCTATTAATTAATGTCTTACATTACTATAATTCTACTAATAATATAATAATGGAACTGAAATTTGAGCTTTTAAAAATCTGGGCGAGATAGTTTCTAATAACCAGTTTAAATTGTAAAGGTTAAGCAGCTTTCAAGCTGAATCATGTATCCTATGGGACGGCTCATTTGGCTAATATGAAGAATTAGTAACTGAATTACAAATTTTTTCTTTCAGGTGTGTTTCGATTGTGGTGCCAAAAACCCCAGCTGGGCAAGCATCACCTACGGCGTGTTTCTCTGCATCGATTGCTCAGGAACGCACCGGTCGCTTGGCGTTCACTTGAGTTTCATTCGGTAAATGCATCTATCCTTGCGGGGTGGGGGTTACTTGTCCCATGGGTCTCTTTCCCCTTTTTCCTTTGCGTTTCCTTTGACATTAAGTACAATGAGAGGTTGGTTATGCGTTATGGAGATTTAAGTCTTATGTAGGTAACTGGCAAAATGAGTTATTTTCGATTCGGTTGCTGTTCTGTAGAGCCTGTGCCAGAGCCTGTGCCGTGATGTTGAAGACAGTCAGAATGGGGGGTTCGAGGCAGTATTTCCTTTCTCTTTATTATCTCCTTATAACGTAGCAGTACAAAGGTGCCCTGCTGTGACACTCAGGGTCGCAGGAGGGGATTCGGGTGCTGTGTTCGCGCACCTCATCAGGTGGAGAGCTGGGGTCGTTCCGGCACAGTGCTTCGGCCCTGGCTCCCGGCACGCTGATACCGCAAAGCCTGAGTGATGAGTTTCGCATGAACGTTAATGGCAGTGTCAAATGCTTGTAGTGAGAAGATCTTTTTTCTCTTCTCATCCGACATCCTCCTTCTCTTTTCATCTGAAGCCTTGGGCGCATTGGCTCCTTCTGGTGGGTTCCTGTCTTCCCTGTGACACTGGGAGTAGCTGAGGTCGGGCCTTTGTATGCACCAGAGAGAGAGACTCCCCCTCTGGACACACACAGCCCCATAGTCCCGTGGCAGGTGGCAGGTGGCAGATGCCCTGGTGTGACGGAAAAGAACTTGAAATGATAAATAATGGAAGGGTTCCGGCAGGCTCAGGGCTGGGCAGCTGAGCGAGGCCTGCACCTCGGCAGCCATAGGCCTTGGCCGGGACTCACCGAGCAGCCACCTCAGATCGCCGTGATCACTGCCCGCCTCCCACCAGTTCACCCATTTCCCTGCCACTTCATTTCCCGGGGATGGAACCAGCTGGGCAGGAAGGCTATTTGGAATTGTGGCAGTTTTACTTTATATCATGACTTAAGGAATATTCATACCACGCAATTACTACAAGGAGCTTTTGTTCCTGAAGGACCACGCCCATTGTGATTCACGATGAGCTATTCTGTGGGGTAGTTCACAGTGGTGATGCTAGCAACGTCGGTTCCTTTTTTAATATGTTAGCTTAAAAAAACTTTCCTGACGCACCTTCCTGAGCTCTTTTTTCAGAAATTATTTCATAAAGGCCTGTCGTGCTAACTATTTATAGCCATATAACTCCACAGGTAATTATCTAGAAAAGGGAGTTCTTATGTGTGTTCTTGTTGGTTTCAGAGTATCTGTCAGTTTCTTGTCTTCTTTTTTTTCTTTTTTCTTAGATGCTGGTCTCAGAATATTTTGAGTACACTACCCTGTCCTTCGCTCTTTTTTAAATACCGAGAGATTTAGTTGCCAGGACAGTTTATTTTTAATGTTTCCCCCTCCCCCTAGTTGTTACCAGTTAACGTGGTGACTTACTCTGCCCAGAGCCCGCAGAGGCAGCAGGTGACTGGCTGTCGTCCTTTCTCTCTGCCGTGTCCTCTCCCTCTTCCTCTCTGCCAAGCTCTGCCTTTCACAGCCTGGCCCTCCCTTTTCCTCACCGCTGAAGCCCAGGGCCAGTTTAAACTATTCCAGGAAATGAGGCGGTTTTTCTGACGTTCTCTGCAGCTGAGGGAGGGCCTGACCCAGAGCCTGGCAGGGGCTGTTTGGCACCGCAGGTTTGCTTGCTAGCCTTTTAAGAGTCAGATAAATATAACTGTATGAATCATGGTGCTTATAAATGATTCAAAAACAACCGTTAAAAATCAGTTTAAAAAAAAAATCAGTTTAGAGGGCAGCAGTCTAGGTTTGGGCAAGAGAACGTCAAGGATGATAAGGGTTCTCTCTCGCGCTTTCTCTATATATACGTATGTATATATATATGTATATATATTTTTTACTGATTAAAAAAAGTTGCAAACACTAGCTCATTGGGGAAAAATCCAAGCAGTCTCAGAGTAACAAAGAAAAGGCCCCTCTAGAATCCCTTTCCCCTCTCCTTCCCCTGCCCCTGCCAGCTGTGGGCATGCACATGCACACAGGCACGCGCACACACACACGCACGTGCACACACACACACGCACACGCACAATACACATGCACATGCGTGTATGGTCCCGTTGCCCAGACGCGATCTTGTTAACAGTTTGGCATGGGCGAATGCTTATTTGAATGGAGTGTTTTGTTTGTTTTTGAGCAGAATTCCAAGTCATCATTTTTACAAAGGAAAAATGTATAAATTATAGCTTTTGCCAGGCGAACAGGGAAAGGCAGGTTAGGCTTCCACGGAAATGGCCTTCGGGGCTGGCCGCAGAATGGACCTGACTGGACTGGCCCCCGCCCCCCACCCGCCAGGGCTGGGAACTCGTCACTGCGGTCCCTGGGATGGCCTGTCTCACGGAGCTCCTCTCCCTCTAGCCGTCTCTTCTCCAGTTCACCGTTAAGTATTTCATGAGCTCTGAAAGCTGAGTGGGATCTAGTCCCTGCGTTGGTCTCGGTGGCCGGGGGGAAGGGACGGAAAGAAGGCAGACTGAAGTGCAGCACGAGGGATGGAAACGAAGCCCCGCGTTCGCTTCTGGTAAGTTAGGCAGAGGAGGTAACATTGGCAGTGAACTTCGAAGGGTTGGTGAGATTTCGGTCATGAAGACAAGGCAGGGGAAAGGAGCTCAGCACTCAGACCTTAAGAAAAGGGACAGAAGTGGAAGATGTTCGGTGGCTACTTTTTGATGCACAGGAAAATGAGGAGAAATCAGGTTCGGAGGGGGAGACGTGCGTGACGTTGTGGAGGGTCTTCTGCCGGCCTGGGAGCTTATACTTCACTCCCGACGCCCTCGAGGGCGGTACGTGGGCCTGGGCCCAGCGGGCGCCCCACGGAGATTCACCGGGCAGCACTGGTAGGTGTTGGAGCGAGGACTCCACAGCCAGCTGCTGGGGCCTGCCCTTCCATCAGCCCTTTTAGCTCTGGGCGTGTCCCTTGCCTCTCGGTGTCTCAGTCTCCTTCCTTGAAAGTGGGGATGAGAAGACTAATATCGTGGTGCAGGGTGCTGGGAGGAGTGAGCGAATGGGCTCCCATCAAGCCTGGCACGTGGCCAGCCCGCAGCACACGCTGACGACCCACAGACCTGGGTCCCCCGGTGCCTGCTCAGCGCACCTTTTTACGATGCTGGTGGAGAAAGTTAACTCCCCACATGACCTTCCGCTAAGCAGTCAAGCCGGTTATAAACCAGTGGCTGCCAGAAGCTTCTCCAGGGCTTGTCTCTGAATAAAAGTGGAGAGTAATTGTGGTGTGGATTGCTCCATTAAAAAATTTCCGATACACGATAACTTCGTCGTGTTTATTTGGTGAGATTTCTTCTGATTTCATACGTTTCTGATTTCATAAGTTACAGAAAAATACTGACTTTGCAGCCTCTGGTGCAGCTAATTCATGCGATTTTTAAGGAGGTTGTATCTTGACTCAGAAGGATTGTAGAGGTTGTGGGAAACCTGTTTTCTCGGGGGCTATTTGTTAAAGTGATACTAATTCTTCAACTTCCTTACTTTCGCTGCTTTACTCTACTCGGCACTGTCAGAGACTTACCTTTCGCCATGTCTGAATCTAAATTAAAGATCACAGATAACCCACAGTGAGGCACTTCCTCACGGAGGCATGGCGATCGAGTCAGGTTTCTTCTCAAGGTTGGCTGTGTTCAGAATCCATCATCATCTCAGCCTTTCGAAATTCCAGAGTATGAGAGAGAATCCTTGTCAGTTCAATTCGAGAACGATTCATTTTTTTTTAAATCTTCATTTCTAAGAAATATGTATGGAAACGTTTGGCTTCCATACATATGGACTGAAAGTTGTAAGGTAAATTAGCAAGTCTGAGTACTTGTAGCCTCAGTTTTAAGACATACCTATTTAAGTCAGGTACCTATTATGTGCTTGTGGTAGAAGTCAGAGAGAAAATATGAGACTTGCCTGTCCTCAGGAGCTTGCTGCTGATAATGCAGTGTGACAGGGTTACCATGGTGATGGTGATGGTAAGAATTTTAGCCATATGGAGTTCGCTATGAGCCAAGCACTTTTCACATATTAGCTTATTTAATTTCTACAAAAACAAAATAGATCATATTATAATTATCCCTACTTTACAGACGAAGAAGGCACAGAGAGGTTAAATAACTTCTCCAAGGTCATGCAGCTGAGATCTGCACTCTCTCAGTCTGTCTCCAGAGACTGTGCTGACTACCACCCATGAGAGAGAGGGGGTAGGTGCCACCTAACCCAGTCTGGGGGGAGTCACGAAAATGTGGTGACTAAGCAAGATTTTCAGAGAAGGATTTCAGAACAAGATATATAATTTAATCACCTTGCTTGGTACTCAAATTTTTTTTTGTCTAAAATGAGAAATATGTTTCCTATAAAATATGATTTCATTTTTACTTTCTATATATCACCCTGAAGTGGATTTGTCCTATGTATATGTAATAATAATACCTATTAGTATAATTAATCTTAAGATAGCTGTGGGCTTCAAAATAATACCCTAACGTTCACAAAGGTCGAACGATACAAATAGGCACAGAAATTAGTGAATGGAAGGGCAGCATGAAAGGAAGTTTCGGTGGACCTGAAGCCTCTTTCCTTCTACCCTGCCCATTTTGTAAAAGCACCCTACCTACACCTGTCCCAAAACGCCCACAACCCCCTGCAGTTGCTGGGGGACAAGCCCTCGTTCAGTACGGGTAGCCCTGCTGCTTGCTCCCATCCACGGGTTCAGCGTAGGGACCGCCACCACTGCCACACTGTCGTACTTGCTTTGCACTGATCACTTGGTTAATTTTATTGTTGAGAAGTACACGCATTGCCTTTACTTGCTCTGATGTGATCTTAAGTAACAGATAAGTTAAGGCACAAGGTGCAGTGGGGTAGAGGCACTTGTAGCTTTCACTTCAGAAGTATTAAATCCTGAGTTTTCTTCCCTCCTTTGTGGCGATGTCAGGTGGGTCCCTTCTACCTGATGGTACAATGGTGAGTGTCCTCCAGGCTCCCACTAGGGGTCAAACTGGACGAATGGATCACTGACCTGAAAAAATCAAAACAAGACGTCTGTTTTGAGTAGAGACACATTACCAAATTGTAGATCACAACCCACTAAGGATGTGAGAGTCAGTCGTTCCCGCTAAGGATGTGAGAGTCAGAGTCGTTCCTGCAGCCCCAGGAAGCTTGTCACGTGTGTCCCTGTTCCCGAGGAGAGAGGGCTGGCTAGAACCAGTGCAGCAGGAGCGCCCTGGCCTGGCTTGCCTGCGGTCAGGCGTGGAGCGGGACAGGCGGGTTGGGGCCGGCAGAACCTCGGCTTCTAGGAAGGTGGGGAGGGGCCAGGAGCCGCGCGTGCAGCCTGGAGTCCCAGTGTCCTGGAAGCATGTGCCACCGTTACCGTAAACGTAGAATGCTTCCAGGACCCTGAAGATAAGGAAACCTTATTCTCAAAAGTTTCGTGGCTTGATTCTGGGGAGGAAGACTATTAACATTTAAGAATGTTCTCTTCATTTAGATCGACAGAGTTGGATTCTAACTGGTCTTGGTTCCAGCTGCGATGCATGCAAGTCGGAGGCAACGCTAACGCAGTAAGCTCATCTCAGACTTGTTTTCCTTCTGTATAACTGTGTGTTCCGCTAGTAGAGGCTCAGCGTTTGCAGTGTTTGCCCTGCCGGGCAAGAGAGACATGAGGGGCTTCGGAGTTGCCCCTCCGAAGTAGATTCGTTTATCCCAAAATGTGGTAAACACCAAGAAAACGCGAAGCTTTGGGCCAGGCGCTGGAATATGACAAACGACAAATGAGATCCCTTCTCTTACAGGCAGAGACAGAATCTTTGACTAAGTAAAGAAACAAGAAGGTAGCAGGTGGTGATAGCGTTTAAAGAAAATTAAAATAGGAAACAATGATACAGAGGAATTGGGAGGCTTCTTTAGGACGGTACGGTTTTTAATACGCGAGGGAGACTTTTGTACTTGAAATGGATGCTCATAGCTATTTACATCTGAACTTTATTTTATTGTCTATAAATTTAAAAAATTGTTCTCTAAATCTTCAAATATAGTATATAAATATCTTATAGTAATTTAAAAACTTAGTAATTTCTGTGCAAAAAAAAATAGCCAGTTAAGTGGTCACTTAATTTATAATTTTAAAAGAGCAGATTTTCTTAACCCCACGTATAAACCTAAATTAAGGTTTTCTCAAACCTTTTAAACTTCATTTACAAATTCAATATATCTGATTTTTCAAACACTGAACTGGCAGCCTTACAAGTCACCCAAAGCACTGATGGCCTGCTTATAATGCCAAAGGGTAGAGGTTGAGTAAATAGAATTTACTCATTAAACATTCAACATGTAAGAAATCAAATTCGTATGCATTTCAAGTAAAAATTATACCTAACATCAATTAGATATTTAAAATTAAAATTGTATATCTAATATATAGTTTTCAAAATACCAAATTCCTTTAGATCAGTGTTTCTCGACCTTTTTTCATTATTGTTCCCTAAGCAGAAAAATTAAATTTAAATTAGATTATTTTAAATTTAAATTGGATTTAATTTCTCCCTAATGAGAGAAATTAAATACTAAGGAATATGATTTTGTCAGGTTGGGGTGAGCTTTGGGGGTCCACAAACCATTGTGGCCTAATAACTAAGATTTTTTTCACTTCCCAAGAAACAGTTTTTGCCCCATTAAGAATGCATACCTTAAGCATTTCAGGCATCTTATGAGAAAGCCATGCCCATTATCGCGGTGTTCACAAACTTGTTCCAAAACTTAATGCTCCAGGTTTGATTTTATCCGTCCTTATTTCTAAGCCTTCCCACGGTCGCAGAGTCCCCCACCCACCTCCAGAGAGCAGCTTTCTCATCTCAGGCCAGCGGAGGTGGGAGGGGGGATGGTGGAGGAGGTGGGGGGTGCAGGGTGGGGGTGGGGTGTGGTCGAGGTCAGGGTAGAGTGGGAGATAGGGCCGGGGAGGCTCAGGTCGGTGGTCACTTTGCTCAAGCAGCGGAGTTGGAGCCATCCTGCTTGGGTTTGAATGTCAGCCTGTCACTTATCTGTGTGACACTGGGCAAGTTGTTGAACCTGTCTGTGCTTCCGCTTCCCCACCCGTAACGTGTAGAGAGTAGCGGTGACTGTCTGATGGTGTCGCTATGGGGATTTAATCAGATGGCGCCCAGAGAACCCAGGGCAGGACGTGCCACGAGTGAGCGCCCAGTGGCGTTGTTAATCTGATTGGGTTATAGAAGGTTGCCGGACAGGTGTTTAGAACACTTGCTTCAGTTAAGGTGTGAATTCTATAAGTCATGTGTCTACATGGGCTCTTCCAAGGTGGTGGTTTAAATGTTTACCACCTGCCTGTAGTTCTGAGTGGAAAGCATCCCCCCAAATATTTAGAATGATGGAGGTGGCTTAATGGAAAAGCGAAAGGCCATTTATTTCATTTTGTAATTCAAGTCTCATGTCCGGTTTTACCAAAATAGCAATGTTACATCTATGGAAGTTATTCCCTTTTACAAGGAAGATTTATTTTAAAAATTTTCCCAGGTTACATTACCTTGGTTTTTACTAGCATTTTCAAAAAATATCCTTTGTAACATGAAGTCACCTTTCTGGTCACCATGCTGGATTTAATGCAGTATTGCCAGTAATCTGCATATTCCCCTCCGTAGGTGTCCTTCTTCCATCAACACGGGTGTGACACCGGTGACACCCAGTCCAAGTACAACAGTCGCGCGGCCCAGCTCTATAGGGAGAAGATCAAGTCGCTGGCATCGCAAGCAACACGAAAGCATGGCACCGACGTGAGTGTGGCAGCTGAGCACGCGTTGCAGTAGGAAAAGTGGTTTTTATCCCACACAGTAACACTTTCTAGCTGGATTCTCTTACAAGGAAATAACATGCCTTGATCTTCACTGTTCCTGGCAGCTGTATCGGTCCCCAGCCTTTTTGGCACCAGGGCCCGGTGCTCCTATGAGAATCTAACGCTTGATGATCTGAAGCGGAGCTGAGGCGGTGATGCTGGCGCTGGGGAGCGGCTGTGAATACAAATGAAGCTTCGCTCACCCGCCCACTGTTCACCTCCTGCTTTGCGGCCCAGTTCCTAACAGGCCACAGACCGGTACCAGTCCGCAGCCTGGGGATTAGGGACCCTGGTCTAGGAACAGCGATCGAGCGAATGCTGAAATACCACTCCCTGGGTCAGGTTCCTGCGAGCTTCTGACCACAGTTTTGTCAACCGATCAATACATAACTTTATCTCACATGCATTTTCGTTAAAAGACACCTAATTCGCTGTGTGTCGTTGGCTGTAACAGCCTTAACTGATGCCTGAGTGAAACCTATCTCTCCCCAAGGCACACGGCTTGGGAGCACTCAGCCTTCAGCACTGTGCTCGGAGCCATTCCAAACAATGAAGTCACCAAAAAAAAGCACAAAAATGTGGAAACATGTCACTAAATAGACCACGTAAGGACACTTGTTTAAAGTATGGTCTGAAGGGAGGCCAGGTGTTGCCTTGTTCGGCCTCTCTGGGAGTCTGTACCTTGGGTGACTCAGGTTGCTCGCTGCTCTGTGCGTGTCTGTGAAGGATGGCAGGAGGGCCCCCAGAGCTGGTTTGGGGGTTGTGCGTAGATTGCACAGGGACGTGAATTCACGAGTATGGAATTCACACCTGGGAGTGTCGACTGGTTTTTAGAACCTGCCCTCAGAGCTGAGGTCCTTGATCTTTCCTTTTCAGAAATGGCTGTGACGGCCTTGGGGTTTGGAAGCAGAGGTCACTGGATTGACAAACTGCCAAAGTGTGCTCAGGGGCCCTGTGTAGACCGCTTACTGATTTTATAATAACAGAAAGTGCAAATCTTTAGCAAACAGGACTCTCAAAGGGGAGTGAAGAGTGTTAAAACCCTTTAAAGCCTGGGGAAATGCTCATCAGACTTCATGTGTGTGTTCTAGCTGTGGCTTGAAAGTTGTGCGCTTCCGCCTTTGTCCCCTACACCAAAGGAGGAGGACTTTTTTGCCTCTCATGCTTCTCCTGAGGTATGTATTATGGTTTACATAATTTTACAGTATGCTTGCTCTGACAGTTAAAGGGCATATATTTAAAGTGTTTCAGTTAGGATATAGGCTAAGCTGCTGTAACGAATAACCCTGAAATATAATCACTTGTCCAAGATAGAAATGAGTTTTCCATCAGAGTTCAGAGGTAGGCCATCCAGGGTTGACCATGGGATTTATTTTGCTGTTCTCAGATGAGGCTTTCATCTCAGGGTCCAGAGTGGTTCTTCTAGTTCGTGACCTTTCCCAGCAGCGGGAAGAGGACAGACATCCAGGAAGCAAGTACCCCATCCTTTTACAGGAAAAATCTAGAAGTGGTGCCCATCACTTCTGCTCTGATCCCATTGGCTGGAATTTAGTCACATATCCTATACCTAGCTACCAGGGAAGCTGAGAAATTATTACTAGCAGTCTGGCACAGTTCAGTTCAGAGCTTTGGAACTCACAAAGAATGAAGACAATATTTTTTAAACCCAGATTTTAACAGGGGTTTGAATCTCGTCCCTAGTTAGCTATGTACCTAGAACATATCTCAAGGCTATTGTGAGAATGAAACGTGTTAATACAGATAAAAGTAATTAGTAGTTAGCACAGAGTAAGCCTTCAGTAAGTGCTGTATCATCATCTTCATCTTTGTGGCCTGATGGCCTGATGGTAGCGGTCACAACATCCACGGTCCTTTTGTGGATTTTCCCCAAATCGCTTAGATCCGGGAACACAGACCTCCAAGGCCTAAAATGTTGACAAACTGGTGCTTTAAGGGAGTGTGAGCCGACCTCGGCTTAGAGCTTCAGCTGTTCTGTTAGCTGGCCTGCCTGCCCCCAGGCCCACTGGGGAGGGGGCACTCTTTACTTAACCGTTGCTCAATCCATTCTTTAACTAATTTTCAAGTAAAGATTGTATAAAGTTGTATATATATTGCTAAACATTGATTTTTTCTTTTTGCTATTATAAGTTGCATGTTACCATCGATGCAGTCAGTCGTTGCCAGAAGTAGTTATCAAAAAAAGAGAGAACAGAAAACAAAAAAAGAGATATGGTATCCTATTGTGATCACCTGTCGTTGTTCGATTTAGAACCAGATATGATATCCATGATGAGGAGCTGGGGGTGCTAAAGAGAAATGATGGGCTAAAAAGAGAGAGGCAAACGGTTTGGCGTGGGTTAGAGTTTGCGATGTTAGTATGAATCCAGGTTTATTTTAGCGTCTCTCTGTATACATACACGCACACACACGATGGAGAACTAACTCTAGATATGTGGGTTAGTACACACCTGTATGTAGTGCTTAGCTCTGTCCACTGAGAGGGCTTGGGGACAGTGACACCCCAGTACTATGAGCACACCCAGCATCCAGATCTTGGTTTCTAAATACTATTCTCCAATAGAAGGAACCAGGGCCACCTTTGGAGAAATGGCAGGTTCTAGGACTGGGGCCACTGGGACAGATGAGTCTGAAGCGTCCTGGAGTGCTAGAAAGTCCCGATCCCGAAGTGCTGGGGGCAGGGGCGGGAACTGAATGAGGCCACGTCTGAAGGACTCTGGAACCAACCAGAAAGAGCTCCCGGTGGTCAAAGCTGGGACAGTTTGAACGACAAAGTAAATAATGGCAGTATTTGAATTGTAATCCAAAGAATAAAATAAATATCCATGAGTCTCTACTGAGATAAACAGATGATTGAATAAATAAATGGGGGGAGAAGGGACAATTTTCCTTATAGAACAGTCCAAATCATGTATATGGATTTTCCCTCTTCGTGTATATAGATACCCCCACCCCACTTGAGGGTGGTCCAGACTTATGGACTCATTTCCCGAGACTCGGGGATAGAAAGGGAAAAACAGCGAGTTTACAGGGAAAGGCTGGCTGCACTGCCTGAACCAAGCGCTCACCGCCAGCGTCGCCCGCGCCCAGCCTGTTGCCACGAGGCCGTGAGGAGGGCACCTCGCCTCCGCGCTTTTCCCCCACCAGATCGAGTCTAATCATGAGAAAACATCTGACAAACCCAAGCTGAGGGACGTCCTACAAAATCCCTGCTCAGTACTCATCAAGAGTTTCAAGGTCATGGAAAAACGAGGAAAGACAGAGACCGTTATAAACCAGAGGAGGCTGAGGAGACAGGACACGTGCAGGGCGGGATCCTGGCACAGAAAAGAGGCGTTGGCGCAAAAACTGGAGAAATCCAAATACAGACTGGAGTTCAGCTAAGAGCGTGCCAGTGATCACTCTCAGTCTGGACAGACGTGCCATGGGCATTTTAACATTGGAGGAAGCTGGGTATATGGAGGAGTGTATGGAAACTCTACTATCTTTGCGACTTTTGTACACATCTGAAATTATTGCATAAAAAAATTTTATATTTAAAAAAGGAGGAAAATAAGGAATTTGAGCATTGAAATATACTTAAAAATAGACATGTTAAATATTATCCTTCCCACAAAACCAGGTACTAAGAAGGCGACTCTTTATTTATTTATGTATTGACATTCAATATTATTTGATATTAGTTTCAGGTACACAGCATAGTGGTTAGACATTTATATAATTTATGAGGCGATCCCCCCGAATAAGTCTAGTACCCACCTGACACTCTACGTAGTTATTACAGGATTATCGACTATATTCCCCATGCTGTATTTTACATCCCCGTGACTATATTTTAACTACCGATTTGCACTTCTTAATCCCTTCTCCTTTTTTACCCACCCCTCACCTCCTGCCTCGTGACTATTTAAATTGTTAAGTTTTCCCCTGCTGCGATTTTTTTAAATGACTTTTCTTGCTTTGCCTGATAATGACTTTTCTCACCTTGCTTCAGGTGAGCGGCACAGGGTGGGCGTCAACACACCCAGAACCATCTTCTTTGACACCGAGGAACGTGGAAACCATGCTGGGAAATAATGAGGGTAAGTTTCAGAATTGTCACGTCATGCTCTTCGGTGGTTCGGTGGCATGCTACGAACTATTAGACAACAAGACCCTTGT